GATCTCGACGGTACGACCCGCGACTAGGGAGATGACTCACGGAGACCTGCATGGGTAGGCTCGATCTTACACTGCCTACGAGTGCAATGGTCGTCCCGGGGCCCCATCGGAGAGAGCCTTGCACCTCTTTCGGTTCGCTCGGTGTGGGAGAGATAACGAAGTCTCCTAGGTCGATCCTCTGTACTGCGGGGATCTCGGCGTCCGGGTCGTCTTGCGTGTGTCGCACGATGATGGGCGGGACATCCGAGTCGAAATGGATGGCGAGAGACGTGAAAGGAAGCGAGGATAAGGAGACATTGGTTTGGGACGTGAGGAGAAGCTGAAACGGGGCCGCAACGCCGACGTCAACCTGGGGTTCCCGGAAGATGATGGTGGATTCGACTGTGGAGACATTGAGTTAGCTATTGGCCACTGATGAAACCGAAGGTATATTCACGAATAGCCTTCGATTCGGATAGATCGACTACTAGGGGTTCTTCAGTGACTGAAGGCACTGTGCTCTGGTTCAGGTAGGTGTTAGTATACGCGTGATTTGTAACTCTCTGCGATACGAACCTGAAGCACAGCTAGCAGGTCGTCCTGTAATGCATCCGGGTCATCTGTTGAAGAAGTTGCACCTGTACACCCTTGTCAGTCTCGTCTCACGGTATAGTCGCACGACGGACCATATCCTAGCATCTCGACTAGCAATCGTACGCTCAGATCAACATCGCCCAGCTGTTGTGCACATTTGTACCACTGTGACAGCAGAGGTTGCAAAAGCGACTCCCAGTTCTCGCGCCGGTAGGTCTTGGCTATGCGCTCAAAAAATCTACCGGTGCATAGATGGGTAAGCATCCACGGACATGACAGCAGGGCTCGGGCAAGACGGACGGACGTACCGTACAGCCAGTTCGAATTTGCCAGAGTCGTAATACGTCTGAGCGATGCGATACGCAATCCAAAGCGTCATTCGTCCCGGATTCTGCGAGTCCCGGGGGCTCCATTTCTTGAACAACTCGTAGGAACGTGTGTAGAGCTACAGGGTCCGTCAGTAACAAATCGACAACAAGCATTGATAACATGCCTCAAGCACGATCGTCAGGTGGTCGACCTTGTTCTCGTTGACAAACCCGGGAGAGCTCGTTTGGTGACTATCGCTCTCTGCGGCCAGGTACCGGTCTCGCCGCCGCTCGGTACACCGCGCTGCCATGTAATAGTAGAATCCTGGATGCTGCAGCGCTTGGTTGGGATTGAGTCCGAGAACGCGCATCGCGTCCAAACCCATTTGTCCGGCTTCCAGCGCTTGAACAGCCATGAGCGCGGCAGAGGGTGCTGGTGTTGGATAGGAGGAAGGAACTTTGAGAGTCGACCGCGTCCCTTGTTCTAGGAGCTCAGCAAATACACGATGTCTGCGATTGGCTGCCATGAGACATCGCGGACGCCTGTCAGGACGGCTTGGAACTCACTGTCGCGCGAGCCAGCTCCATAGCTCGAATGTTTCCTCACCGATCCCCCAGCCGCGCGAGAAGTCGGTGAACTTGCGCATGTGGGCGTTCTGGTGCGAAAGAGCAAGTCCATGCTCATTGTTGTACAGATACAGCTTGGCGATCTAGATGTGCGCGGCAATGCGTCAACGCCTCGGCTGGAGTCTCGAGTTGAGGAGCCTGAGCCAATCTACCTTTACAGTGATGCAATCTGCAAGCACTTTGGCCTCTGCCCATCGCTTCGTTCGAGGAGGCAGGATCGCTGTCGACCCAAACATGATCATCAACGTTGCGTATGCATCTTGATAATGCCTAGACGGATATGAGCGAGATGTCTACTCCAGAAGACACACGCGTACTTCAGAGCCACTTGATCCTCGCCTCTGAACTCTGCAAAGCATGCCATCTTGTACTCGTATCGAACAGTCCATCCTTCGGGTCGAAGTGGTCGAGCAACACCCGTGCTAGCGAGAGGGGTGAGTGGCACTTGATACGAGTTTACTTGCGAGTGACGATTACGTTTCCGCCGAACACGCTTGGAATGGTTGGTGTAGTATTCAATAGCCGGTTCGTGTAGCGCATCTTGTAGGCTGTTCGCAACACATTCGCACCATCCCGATAACAGGCACCTATGAGCACATACCTGCGGACGAAGTCGCCGATCTCGGTTTGCGAAACGGGGCTAAGGACAAAGAGAGCGGCGCGAGGATCTAAACCACTCTGTCTCCGAATGTATGTGAGTCGCGTATCAAGGCTTGAATCGTCTTCTTCCCGTAAGACATCCATTCGCACGCGAGAGGATGATCAGGATTCACCTAACATTCGTCTGCTCGCCATGAGGACAGCGGTTAACTTGATGTTTCGTTCGTTGGTGCTCTTCTTCCTCTGCGCGATCTCGGCCGCGAGTTCAGTGTCCCTTTTCTTCTCTTCCGCCTCCCTGTCTCGCTCATCCTGCCCTGCCTGAAGAGGTGGCGACTCATATAGTCGCATGAAGACGACGAAGACGGATGGGACGAGAGCGGTATGCTTCCTTATCCATATCGGGGCGATGAGACCGTCGGGATGCAAAGGAGACGACGGAGTCAACGGGGAAATGGGGGAGTGAGAAGAGTTGTATTGCGGGTCTTCTGGACGAAGCATTTTTCGAGGCGGAAATGGGACTTCCTACGGTGTTGTTACACCTTGGGTGGGATCTGACGAGAGATGTTGCGCACCTTATCGACCAGAACAACCTGGAATGTCTTCGCCTTTTCAGGCTGCCATATGGCCACCTTGCGCTGCGATAGGAGTGCGTCCCGTAGCCTCACAGCGAGGATATAGAAGGGATCTTGTCGTGAGGACGCGGTTGGAGTGCTCGCGGTTGGAGTGTTCGGCGCGGGAGTCGATGGTGTCTGTGGTGGGACCTGAACATCCAGTCCAGCAACAAACATAACAGGTGCAAGCTGCACTAGGAGCTCTGGAGGGTACGAGTTCATGGTCGATTGCTCTTCACCTGCACGGCCGACCTAGAGATTTATATGCGTCGGACGACGGTCCTCCAGACTCCTTATGCCAGCACTGTAGCTTTAGCCCAAGGGTACCCCCAGTAGCAAGCAGGCAGCAAGCAGATACCAGACTAAGCGAACGGTATAGAGGCAGAGACAGGTGAGGATGGGGAGCGTATGAGAGCTTAGCTTGAGGGCACAAGTAGCGCGTCCCGGCAAACCCCGACCTCTTACATATAGGCCGAATAAACAACGTTGACTCACTATGCCTTCCCCCACCAGCTCGTATACGCTAAGAGCGTTCCGTTGTTTTCAACGTTATACACGCAGATGTGTTCGGATGCCGTGCTTACTGTCATCTACCTCCATAGGTTTGTGCTCTTTATAGAGTTGATCATCTCAAAGCGACTCATACTGCGATGGCGCGAACGTTACATATGGAGGCCAGGCTGCGCACGTTTCAACTCACACTGTTTCAATAGCTCGAAAACGAACGATGCTGGCTATTGTATATCCCACTGCTTGTCTGACTGGTCTGACATCACGATTCATTATCTCAAACATTATGCAAAGTCCTCGGTAAGCTACAAGCTAGTCGTCGTGAAATAGTCCACGCGGAAGTGACGCATCGTATCTTAGCTATCTTCAGACGACCACAGCATCCCAGAGCTGAAGGTGCTGCAAGGTGTCGGTGCAAGCCCCGAGCGTAACCTGTCATAAATGGTGATACCGATCAGCATCACTGTGCGGGTTTTATCCCTCTCATAGATTGGAACTAAGCAACGCACCGGAACGTTCTGGGCAGCTCTGCCGAGGGTGATGCAGTTGCCGTCAGCGTTGGAGATCGTCGCCGGGCTCTCGTTCACCGTCCAGATCTGCTTCGGCGAGTCCGAGCAGTCTTCGATGTAAAGCGTCTGTGTCGAGGTGCCGGGCTCGACTCCGTCCGCGGAGATACAGAAGTCGCCATACGCCAACTGGCCAGGCTTGCCCGTGCCCTGCGTGGGGAAGAGGGCGGTGATGTCGTTGGACGAGCCGTCACCAGGAGCAGTGACGGTGAGGCTGGCTCCGGAGAATGCTCCTTCAAAGGTGAGCACCAGGCCGTCTCCTGTGGGGCAGTAAAGTCATCCGGTTAGTAGAACGCACAAGGAAAAATACTGCAGGAAACGCAACTCACTCTGGCTAGTGAAGAAGTGAGCAGCAGAGCCGGCGGGGACAACGTCCGCAACGACGACGGGAATGGTGGCCACAAGGGCGGAAGCAACGAGAGCGAAGAAGGCCTTCATGATGGACGTGTGCGAGAGGGAGTGCGTTGAAAGGAGGTCGTGCAGCAGTGCGCTTTGCTGGGCTTGGTCGTTGGCCTTTTATACGTCTGGATTAGCCTACCGACCCACAGGTTGCCTAGGTTGTCGTCGTTGAGGCGCTGTCGGCACGAGCGAGGAGATGCGCATCCCCACTTGCCTGCCCCCAGTCGAGATCCGCCAAATCAGTCATGCGGGCCGCGGTCGACCAACCACTGGCCAAACTTTCATCAAAGGGCACGGTCGCCGACGCCGTCGATGCGACTTCTTGCGGACGCGGGCTGCAATTGCCTCCGTCATCTGACCATGATTGGATCTCAAATCACACCAGGCTCATCCAGCCGATCCGCCCTCTTCAAATCCTACTTATCCAATGCCTACTGACTGATCCCGGGTGTCACGGGAGTCATTGCTCCCGCATGCGTAAGTACAGGTTACTTGCGAGAAGGCCAGAAAGCAGATCGTTGTGCGGGACCCACTCCTCACGTTGTCAAAGTGGGACCGGTCATGGGCTGCCTCATGAGAATCGAGTCTCGACTCTCCAGGCTCCTCGCTTGGGCCATCTAGCCCACGGCTTGAAGTACGAAATCAAATGGTAGTAAACCCGACGTTGGGCGACGGGGTTATGCTACCATTCTCATTGTCCGTCATACAGTATTCTTTGTTGATCTCGATCCGCGTTCGACACCAGCTGGGTATGTATGCTTTGGCGGTAGGCATGAAAGTTGTAGGCGGGGAGAAGGAAAAACATATTCCCATCAGCCGACTCGAACGACTGACCTCGTCATTACTAGTGACGCGCTCTACCAACTGAGCTAAACGGGATGTTAACAAAGGAGCAAAGTTACATTTATATAGTTTCTCAATCACGTACTCTCAATTCCACTTACCCCTCACGGAAGCGCTTCATTCCTAGTCAGCTACTTCTACGACTGGAGCAATCTGTATAAAACGTACGGCTACTACCAGAGATGATGTTAGTCGTCCCTCAGGCAACTTCGAAAGCTTCAAGATGTAAGCTATGGATCAGTAGTCCGGTGCCTGCAAGTGTCGTGTTCAAAGTCCGCGCTCCCTCATCCTCTACAGTGCAAATTCAATGGAGCCCCGTGTTTACACATGCACACCAGACGGGATGTCGTGAACATCGTCTCGTAGAGAGAGTCGTTTCCCATTCTGGGATAGAATTGAAGTAGGAACACAGCAGTCCCAGCCCGTTGTACAGCCTACTACACATCGTCACCTCCATTCCGCCGAACCATGAGCTTTGAACTACCCGTCTGTTGCTGAACATTATGACGACTCCCGATGTAGCTTTCTTGTCATACACAGTGGTCCGACTTGCTATTGTCACGCTCCGGGTCAACATTTGCTTCCTTGTACAATCCACCGTGTCAAATGTTTGTCGACGACAGCTGCAAGAGCGATAGCGTCAGAAAGAGTGGGCAGATCTTCCCCCACGACTGATGTCACATATGATGGAAAGCCTATTCACGACTTAGAGCTGGATAATTCGGACCATCTCAAGATTCAGTTCTCGCACATCTGAGCGTACGTCAAATCTTCGGCATGTATCTACATTCATGTCCTAACCTGCAGTTTTCCGAGAATCGCGTATCGTTGTGCACTCCTATGGCTAGGGCAACCACTTATGTCGGATGTACTGTCGGCTTTACCTATCCGAGTGCACAGAAGTGGATATGTCAGACGACTTGCGAGCAATTCTCCGAATGCTGCGGTGGGAGCTGATGGGAATGTCGCAAAGGTTCGTAGATACCCTTCAATGGATATCCTATGCTAACAACAGCGCGATTGTGGATCAGCGTACAAGAGAAGAGCATGCGTATACCCTATGTAGAAACTCTAATGCGCTTAGGTGGGTCCGTCCGAACGTTCTCCACTTCTCCAGTCTTTCGTTTGCTTCTGGATTGCGACGGCCTGTGGAAAGTTTCCGTGGTCAGGTCTCGTCAACTAAAGAGACAGAATCGCGCATACCAAGTTGGCGCGTTGACGGCTTCTTCGTTTGAACTGTGCACTACCTCGTCTCTCGCCACCGGCATCCCAAAGAGCTCATCTTCGCGCCTTGACTCCGTCCTATCGTCTCCTAGGAGCCATGGCTGACGCTTCACCTCGGCCAGGTAGTGCTCCTCAACTGAGAGGCGAAGCTGCTGCACTTTCTTGATCCTATCATCCATCCAGACCTCCTTGTTTCGGATCACGTAGATCACTCTTTGAAGCTGTTCCACTTCGCGCCGCAGGTCCGGATAGTCTAATGTCTGTTCTTCGAGCTCCTCTAACATCTTCTCCAGCGCGTGCAGGGGAGGGTGGGTTGAAGTCTTAGCCCCGGGAGCCACGGGGGATGCGTCTTGATTAGGCTGCAAATATCCTGGCGGTGTCGGCACTCTGGAAAGACTGCTTTCCGGCACGTCGTGCATGCGAGGCACTATCTGCGGCCGGTGCTTGATGGGAGAGCTGGTCGGTGCTGCACTACCAGTGCGGAGGTCGGTAGTGCTAGAGTGCCTACGACCTGAATGCCGTTGAGTCCGTCGGGCTTCTTCATCCTTCGCATTGGAAACGACCACTCCTTGAAAGGACGGTTCTCCTAGATAGGACATGGTTTCTGCTCGGTTCGCACCTCTCACAAAACTCGGCACTCGACACACCTCGTCGTTCCCCGACTATGATGGGCATCCAGATATCTGCCTGAGCAGGGGGTGGGCTGCGTACTACAAAAACACATCTGTCAGATGACGGTGATTGTGGCGAGAACGTGTACTCGCCTGTAGTAGCCTGCGCTGTCAGGGTTGACTTCCTAGCAGTGCGCGGCAAAGGACGAGCATGGCTCAGCCTGTCTGTGTAACCACCGATGTAGTTCAGGTTGACGTCTCAATGAACACGGAAACAGATCTATTCACCAGTCCTACGCTCAGAGGCGCGTGTGGCGGTACTCGCTCGCAGACTGGTCGTCGGCGGTTCTACTTGGTTGCTGGGGCCAGCCACAGGCCTCAGTCTCTGATATCTGTCGTCCGCGGTGTCTTCTGTCCGCGACGCAGATCCACACTGGGGCATTGTCGTTGTAGAAGAAGTCCGGCTTGATCTGCGTCGCATTTCCGCAGGTGTAGCTTGTGCCTTCAGCGTATGCGCGCGCGAAGGCATACGTTTGTTTGGACTATCCGCTACGCCACTGCAACTTAGTTGAGCAATCGGCTCTTACTTCGGATGATGGCATGACACGGTACCGTTGTTGCGACTGCGCCATCTTGCGCAGATTCTCAATCATGTCTGCGTTCTTTCCGTTTGCTTTTAGACCCATGCTCTGCGACGTAGATTGGTCGGTGAGTGATTGTTCGTCCATGATATGTGGCCGGATGTGGTTTTCGATTTGACTCACTTTGGCCAGTCGTTGTAGTTCAGCTCTCGGCAGCTGGTCCAACGTCTCTACATCCATGATATGATGCGTTTGTCGGCGTACTTCAGCAAAAGTATCGTAGTAGGAATTGCGGGTAGCTGTATGTGTGTGATAGTCGTGGTTAGGGAGAGCCGTGCTTGCCATGCGGCAGAAGTTGAACAAGGGACGAGCGCCTGAAACAATAGCCGGCCAAAGCGGCCACAAGACTGCGCCACTCGAATGGTGCACTGGCAGATGGGAGCCACCTATATATGCTGCTAGCTATCTTGTCATGGTCAACGTCGAGCTCGACTCGGCGATGGCGATCACAATAGGCGTATCTGTTCGTTGGTAAGATCTTCAGAACGAACTCAATGTCCTCGGTGAGTAACTCGTGTATGAGGGGATTATACCGTTCATGGGATTTATAGCTCCAGATGATACTATTCAAAAGTATGTAAAGCCTTTGTCTGCATATAAAGACATTACTGACATTGCCTGCGCTCTGTCAGAAGCGGCTCCTTTTGAACACTCTCGTGACTCTTCGGTGAGGGGATGAAAGGAGTATCTTTATATCCATTGTGGATTACCTATAGAAGAATCTCTTGCAATGCTCTCTATTTCTCTCTTCAAAGTACCCATCAACCTAGTAGTTAATTATATAGAGCAATGAACAGTCACACCTTGTCGAAGTTTTAATAATTGGAGACTCGGGGTTGTCGGCCATTTTGAGGTGCCAAGGCTGACCTGGAAAGCGAATGGACTCACAGCACAGTAGCAAGAAGATGCTCTGTTACAGCATGCAGGGTCCGATGGGCCTCTTTGAAGTACTCCTCAAGAGAGAGTCATCGAAATCGTGATTTGTTCCAGAATAGGACTCGGATCGCATGCGGGATGGGCCACTAGCACTCAAGCGCGGTCGGACTTTAAATCTCATCTTGAACTCCTACCACTTCGACCACGTAGAATCCCCCCCAATCATCGTTCCACAACTGGAAAGGGCCCACTCGCGCATCATGAATGCTAATGAATTGAAGAACCTGAAGCGTAAACAGCTTCAAACCATCGCAATGGTATGTGAGGCAGCGAAGATCTTTAACCACCGCTAAATATATCGCAACTACTGGCAGTCCCATGGTATCAGGGCCAATATGAAGTCAGGAGCAATTATAGATATACTTTTCAAACGTTATCCCAATGGAGTTCTGTGCGTATACCTCTTTTTTTCGACCGATAACCGTCCTAACCAGCACACCGTGCTAGTCCCCATCCATCTGAGTCAGACGTTGCAGCACCCAAGGGCAAAGCCCCAGAACGTGCTCCCACACCTGAACCTTCCAGCCCTCGAGGTAGCTCACCAGCTTTTGCTCATGCAGTAGCTGACAGGCCAGGTATGATGCCACCGAAACCACCGACGCATCGACTCACGATGAGCAGGTTCAGGAACAGAGGAGAAGGTTCAGAATCCTTCCGGCTCGCAACCCCAGGACACGTCTGCTAAAAAGCAACATGAGGCCTCTCGAGAGCAGGAGCGTAACACAGAAAACTTCCATTGCGCTCAGCATCCTCAATCTCTCGCGGTGTTCACGTTGTCTGTACCTCGTGGGCAAATCTGATTATACGCATGACTGATGTCATCCTCGCATTCACAGGTCTAAGAATGACGCCGCAGTGACCCAAGATCATCAAGAGCATTCGACCGCGTCCAGCGCGTCCGCAGCCGCAGGAACTATACCGTCAACTGTGGCGAACTCCTCTATGTTTCCGCCAGGTGAGTTCCGGTGATGCAAGGTAGAAGTCAGGGGATTCACAGAGCCTCTAGGAACTGAAGTCTTCAGCGCGTCCACTGGTGTACCCAGACACGCCTGCGCCTGGCAAACAAGCAAGTGGCATGGAGGCTACTCCTTTCCTCCTGTTCAGGTAGCTTCCGCACAGCAGATACCGTATGCGATGGCCGCGTCTATTGCTGGGGGAAGTGTGCCCATCAACGCTGCTGCGGGCCCGAGCACACACCCACAATCCCGTGCTACAGCGCGAACGAGCGCCACGTCCAGCTTTTGGGACACCGCTCCGCCACTGGTAGCGCCAATCGTTGCTGACGACTCACTCGATGATTGGGATAACACCAGCAGCTCAGTACCCCGCGTGCCTTCTCCCGTTGCCGTCGACGCGGACCAGATTCTCGCCACAGACAAGCAGCTATACGAGGCTGTCTGCAAGATGGCGAACGTAGCGAGGTTCCGAGAGGAAGTCAACACGGATCTAGACGCAATGGAAGAGGATAGCACGCGAATGAAGAACAGCCTCATGGGCTTGGGCACGCTCGTCAGGCAGGAGCGGGCTCACTTCCAGCGGATACGGGCCTACATAGATCACGTTCACCCCAAGCTTGTCCCAAGATGGCGTGAGGAGGTGATATGGGACAAAGCGTGTCCAACAC